CCCCCCCCCCCCGATTTATGTCATACTTCTGAAAAAGTCCGCAGAAAGCGCTAGGTACTAAACTCAACTTTAGTACAACATTTCATCCTCAGACGGACAGACAATCTGAGAGGACGATTTGTATCTTAGAAGATATGATGAGAGCATGTGTGATCGATTTTGGGAACAACCGGGAACAACACCTATCGTTAATGTAGTTCGCTTATAACACCAGTTATCAAGCTAGCATCTAAATGGCCCCGTACAAAAGCACTGTATGGGAGGTGCTGTAGTTATCTAGTATGTTGGACTAAATTGAGCAAGCAAAAGCTTGAAGGACCTGATCTAGTATGAGAAACTGAAGAAAAAGTTTGCCTAATTAGAGAAAGAACACGAATAGCTTCTGATTGACAGAAATCTTATACAGACTTGAAACATCGTGACATTGAATACAATGTAGATGATATGGTGTTTCTGAAAGTTTCACCATGGAAGAAGGTGCTACGATTTTGTAGGATGGGAAAATTGAGCCCGATGTATATTATACCCTATTGTATCATTGAACGATGGGTCCAATAGCATATCGGTTACAACTTCCACCAGAACTGAACAAGATCCACGATGTATTTTATGTGTCAATGCTAAAACGTTATCGTTCTGATCCATCACATATCCTCACCGATGAAACTGTAACTCTTGATGAACGTCTAACATTTGAAAAGGAACCTATTTAAATTCTGGCACGTGAAATCAAGGAACTAAGAAACAAGTCTATCCCTCTAGTCAAAGTACTCTGGATAGAATCACTCAATTAAAGAAGCAACTTGAGAGACTGAAGAGTCAATGAGGATGCAATATCTAAATCTCTTAAACCAATTCCTCAGGTAATTTCGAGGATAAAATTATTTTAAGGGGGGATAAAAATGTACGCCCTGAAAATAATCTACCAGAATTAATTAATAATTAATTAATTACTGAGAAAGATCTAAAAATAAGTGATCTACAAAGTTTGTCAATTACTCCTTCATTCCATATTAACTGTCCATTATGACTTTTTTGGTACATTGAAAAATGAATGAATGTAGACATGCTTTATGTATACATTCATTCATCTCTTAATATGGAATGGAGGGAGTAATTGTGAAAATTATATCGCTGTGTAGAATTTGACTGTTTAATCGCAACGATATAATCAGATTAGAGAAAGTTGGACCAAAAAGTATAAATATCTTTTAATTTAATGATATGTGATGCACTGATAACTATAAAAGGTGCGTGGGGAAAAGTGTGGTTCGTAAGAACAGTGGTTGAGGAAGATTTGTCGTCGTGACAGAAAAGACTCTTTCTTAAATTAAAAAAACATTAAGGACATTAAAAACATTATAAATTGAAAATAATACTCTGTCTATCACGTAATAATATTCTACAATGTTTTTTACCCGTCCAAAAATAATGTTCTAGTTTTAAGATTAGCAAACTTTTGGGATCTTATATCATTTCTCTTCTTTTCACCACTTTCAACTATACAAACTCATCATTTTTTTAATTTTTATGTTCAATCCATTAAAACATTAATATGATATTGAGAAAGTATTTTTAAAAGAAATATTTGCACTAAATAGCACTAAAACTTAAGTCATTTCCCTAAATAGTACTTAAGCTGTTTTATTCCCTAAATAACACTTAATAATGTCCATAATGTTCAGTGATGATGAATATTTACTTGAATAATGACTAATGAATAATGACTAAAACTGTTATATTGGAAAAAAAACACATATTGTGCTATTTAGAGAAAGTCATTATGTTTTAGTGATATTTAAATAAATTTTCCCTAACAATAATTATGTGTGTTAATAGATACTCCGTAAAAATATTTGTTCATGTATAAATCATTTACTACCTCGAGGAATTTACGTGAATAACACTAAAACATAATGACTTTCCCTGAATAGCACCGCATGTGCTTTTTTTCTCAATGTAGCACTTTTAGTCATTATCCATTAGTCATTATTCAAGTAAATGTTCGCCATCATTGGTCATTATGGATATTATTAAGTGCTATATATTTAAGAAATAAAATAATTTAAATGCTACTTAGGGAAATGACTTAAGTTTTAGTGCTATTTAGTGCAAATATTTCTTACTACCTCCGTCTCAGTGTATTTGTCCAGTATGACTTTTTCAAGTCAAACTGGACAAACTTTGAACTCCAATTACTTTCAATTTATATTGCATATTAGAATAATGAAATATAATTTTGGAAGTTCTCAATACGATAAATCCAATAAAGTCAATTTTATGTTAAAATATATTATGATTTTTATTTAATTGAAGCTCAAAATTTGTATAATTTAACTCGAAAAAATCAAATTTAATACATTGGGACGGAGGGAGTATTA